GGGGGATTGTCAGGGGACAGGGCAGCTGGATGGGGCAGAGGTTTTGGGGGGGGTTCGGTCAGGGGACAGGGAACGGGGGGGTTGGATAAACGTGGGAGTCCTGGGGAGCCTGTCAGGGGGCAGGGGTGTGGATAGGGTCAGTCAGGGGACTGGGAGCAGGGGGGTTGGATGGGGGTGGGGCTCCAGGGGATGGGGGTCCTGGGAGGGGGCGGTTAGGGGACAAGGAGCCGGGGGGGTTGGATGGGTTGAGGGTTCTGAGGGGGGCAGTCAGGGGGCGTGATGTTGGAGGGGGAAAGTAGGGCGGTGTTTGGCACAGCCTTCCCTACCCAGCCCTCCATACAGTTTTGCAACCCCAATGTGGCCCTCGGGCCAAAAAGTTTGCCCACCCCTGTTCTAGGGCCTCATTGCCCTTATGTTACAAGGTGTTTTATTGAGTATAGATATTTCCATATAGTTTTAAGCCTTCAGCTCAAAGAGGGGTGCAGCATGAAATGTTTGGGAACCACGGGACTAGTGACTGGTAATTCTGGGGGGAAAGCACCATAATTACAATCAATAACACTTAGCACTTAAATTCTCAAAGTACTATACAAACACCTGATTAACTATCAAGCTAGGATTACAGTATCATTGCCACACTTCTGACAATTCTTTTCCAGTTATCTCGAGCCTGATCTGAAGAAATTCTATACAGCCCAGTAAGGTGCTATGCACCTTCACTCCCATTATACAATATTGTTCTTTTCAATCTCTATAAAGCCAACAGGAGTTTAGAGACCTCCAAACAGTGCAGGATCAGGTAGTAATGTGCAAGAGTCGTAGACCTAAGAGTACACATGATTAATTTACTGGTTAGATGTGATTGACAGTCAGTATTTTTAACTTGTGAATATGAGTTATCAAAGCTCATACAGCCTGGTTTAGTTAGCTATTTCACACATATATGATAAATCTATAGTTTAAGCAAAAGATTATTTTCTAGACAAAAGGTTCTGAGTTTACACAGCAAAAATTCCAGTCTCTCATGGCGGAAGCTTTATTTTTTTTTTAAGTCAAATGAAAAATAATCAAAACTTAAAATATCACTGTTTGAAACCCTGTTTATCTATCTGGCTTAGAGAGAATCTATTCTATACAGATGAATAAATCCCTAATAACAATGAGGGAAACTAAAGCATCTGTACCACAGCTATAAAGTAAGCGTAGGCAAAAAGTAAAGCAATATTTTGCTTTTGGTTGATACTGTCAATTAAAATGTACATTGAAAATCAGGTAATAGCTTCTTTTTTCCAGTAAATCCTTCTATTTTGCTTCATCTGGGAAAAGCATGTTAATAGTCTGAATGGCTTCTGTACAAACAAAAGAACAGCTAGAGTAAAAATGAAAAGTACAAAATAAATTGCCAAACCATAGTTCAGCCAGCATAGTTCAAGCTCTCAGAAATGCTCAGTTTTAAGGAAAATCTGTGTCTGTCTGTCCATCCATATACAAGCTTGTTTCTCTTAACAGCAGAAGGGGAACCAACAAGATTTTACCTCATGTATCTTGTCCGTACACACACCTGGGAAGTGAATTAAAAGTGCTTAGAGAACATTAATTTTTCCATTTCCTGATTTTTTAAATTAGAATATAAATGCCTGCACAAAGCCCATTGCAACATGCAGTTATACATTCACATTTCACTACAATGCCTTTTATATTTTCAATCTCTAAACTGAAAGTAAATTTTCTGAATTTGTTTTTAACAACTCATAATACATACTAGTTCTTATGTAAGTAGTAGGGACACTTCAGTGTCTTGTAATCTGTATTTAGATATGCTGTACTATCTAGGATGCATCTCCTACAAAAATAAAACCTTAAACTGAATTTCTCAATTATAGTTTCCAAAGTCAAACACTGCATACATCCTTGAACAATTGCTGCCCAGCAAGTTAAATCTTCCATTTAATGAGAAAAAAGTAGGGGAGAAAAAATGCAAATGCAACTGTCTGATTATCAAACAAACTGGAGTGCTCCAGGAGCCTATATGCTTTAGTGGTAAACCTGAAGCTCTAACATTTAGCAGCTTAATCGAACAGTCCACTCCCCTTTGAGCACGGCTTCTCATTTCTTGAAAATGGCTGTAAACAGAGAAAGGGAGGAGCCACAGTAGCTTGCCAAGTGAAGCAGAAACTTTGTGAGTAATTTACTAGAGGAAAAACAAGTGCAGCGCACACACGCACAGAAAATACCATGCTGTATGTGTTCTGCTGATAGGAGATCACAATGTTTTCACAGAGAAACAAGACAGCCCTTTTCAGTCTACTTCCTTCCTCTGAAATGTTAGTTACCAACTGTGTTTGGACCTTGAAGTACAAAGGAGTGCGCAACATGAACTGAAGGTAAGAATTTAAAAGGTCTTACAACAAAGCTAATGAAATAAAGTTGGGGCCACGAGAAAGTGAAAGACAAGCAGAAATTTAGGAGTAGTGGGCAAGGAGTTGATTTATAAAACCAGAACTGGGTATTAAATTTAAATATAATACTAGTGTAAAAAAGGGAAGCTGGAGAGGAGGGCATTTGGGGAAAACAGTCAAACTACAACGTATGGGGGAACTACAGGATTTATTTTTGCATGAGACTTGATCTAAAACTGAACAATAACTGCTTCAGATTTATCAAGTGAGACAACTCAATTTCAAGCATCCTAAAGATCCAATCCTACAGTCTTTACTCAGGCAAAACTCCTTTTGAAATGATCAGGAGGTTCGGCTGAATAAGGAATGCAGGATTGGACACTATATAGCTATATATCCAATAGGTACAGTATCAGGGGGTAGCTGTGTTAGTCTGTATCTACAAAAACAACAAGGAGTCTGGTGGCACCTTAAAGACTAACAGATTTATTTGGGCATAAGCTTTCGTGGGTAAAAACCTCACTTCTTCAGATGCATCATCAGGTACAGTAGTTTCTCATGTGAATAATAAGCATGCTTAAAAACCAGGTGCTTTTGTTTCAAAAAAGTAGTTTGTCTAGTATTTTAGACACCTTTTAACTATATATTTCCCCAGAAAGTATGTTTATTATGGAGTTTAGAATCACTTCATTTATGTTCATTTCTAATGAGAGTTCTGTAATTTTACAAGAAAATTACTGGACAAAAAAAAATTGCCTACAGTTCCTATGATGTAAGTATGACATTAAATTTAACTTAATTTAAATGATATAAACATAATGGTGTTAATCTTTAAACATTTGCAGAACCAAACATTAAATGCACAGATGAAAATGGCATTCTTTTCAGTATGAGACAATAGAAAGGGAAGTATTTTGTGTCTAACGTAATTTAGTCTGGGGTAATGACTATTAGCCACGTAGGGTTAGATACTACAAAATGGATTTCCCTGGGAAAACCCGTGTCTATACATAGCTCCACTGCAGTCAGAGGGGCTCCACATGGGTGCAGGGGTAGACTTGGGTGGATCCATTTGCAGTGTCTAGCTCTCAGTCTGCAAAATTAGTTGAACCAACTCACTGAAAATGTAATGAGTTGACTTGTGGTTGCTGTCACCAGCAATATTTTCAACATATTTAAAATAGCGTACACTTCCTGTACAAGAAAATAAATAAAATAAATAAATTAATGGAGATATCCTATCTCCTAGAACTGGAAGGTCATTGAGTCCAGCGCCCTGCCTTCACTATCAGGACAAAGTACTGATTTTGCCCCAGATCCCTTAAGTGGCCCACTCAAGGACTGAACTTACAACCCTGGGTTTAGCAGGCCAATGCTCAAACCACTAGACTGCTTTAGATTTTTCAAGGATAATATCAAGCTTTAAGAGACAATTTAAACAAAACTAAGATACTGTGTACCATTGCAATGCTGTAGCTTATGAACACACTAAAGGAAAAAATACAATCAGCTAGGAAAATAAGGCTACTTTAAAACAATTATTAAACATTTACCTTGTACTTCTGCTGAAAAAAAAAAAAGTTTTTCTGAGAAAAGTCCGTTCTTAAAAGTGAGTTAAGAGATTCATTTTCCCAATTGTATTTTTGGATTGATTCTTGCTGCAGGAACATGATGGATACAGGTAATTGGAAATACAAACACACCCACTAACCAGCAGCAATAGGGATGGGGATTAAGCCTTACAGACTCAGAGTCAAATCCTGTGCAACTCCTTTGACATTTCAATTGAATTACACCTGTGAAGCTGAGAGTCAAATGTGGCCCTATTGTGTTTACAAAACTCATTTTGTGTAATTCAATCCAAGGCAGTTCATTTAGTTAAACATGCGGTCTAGTGACATTCATTTTAATTGTGAAATCTTTATTACATATTTGATTAATCTTATCTCCCTTTTATTTCTTTTTATAAAGTGTGCTTATGTGTGCTCACACTCTCTCCCTCATACATTAAAAACAAAGAATTTAAACTAAGACTGAGCATCTAACTATCGCTCTGTGTTTGACATATAAGATCACCCCCATACAGATCAACACTGGGGGACAGATGTCAGCAATCTTTAAACAGACCTCCCCATGTACTTCAATGGGGAGTTCTGCTTAAAAACTGATTGTACAATATAGTACTGTGGGAATACCAGTGCTGATACCACAGCCATGGATATTTTCATTTTTACAATGTTAGAGGGAGATTTCTTCCATACTTTCGCAAACTCAGAGCTTCTGTTTCGGTTTGTTTTAGATTAAAACTGGTTTTAGTAGAAAAGTTATCCTTATGTTTATTAAGCATGGAGTAGCTGGACAAACTCTAGTGTACAGGGTTTTTAAAGAGTTTAAAGATCAGGGTTCCTTTTAAAGAGTTCAAGCAATTCAGGAAGAGGAAGGGTGAATAATTCTTACCCTTCTGAAATGAAATGAGACTGTCCTGATACCCGGCTCTCATAACATTACAATGTGTATTTAGTGTCAATGTACACATTTCTTGATTTTATTTGAAGTGCTGACTTCAGTATTTTCTTTATGCTGGAAATAATAAGGATCGTCTATGTATATTCTCTATGAGTTAGGAAAAGTAGAGACTTGAAACATGCATCTCAGAGATGTCTTTCAAGTTGCGGGACACCAAACCTTTCTGAACTCCTACATCTTAGACTTATCATGGTAAGCTAACAATCTTAATTAATATTATGGAGAAGGCATTACTCCCTCCATAATTTGTAAGAAATAAACTCCTTTTTTGAAATATACATTATAAATGTAACATAGTGCAATATTTGACACACAACGTGGAAAATTAGCCATATCTCTTATTAAACTGCAGATTTCAATGTTAATAATAGGGGCAAAACTCGAACAAAATCATGCTAAATGTGGAAATTGAGAAAGGAATATTTTAAAATGCTATTGCAAAAAAAAAAAAACCTTACCGGTACTTATATTTTCTGAAATTATTCTCTAGGTAAGGAAGGTAACAATTAATAAATTGGGCCCCAATCCTCCAAACACTGAACTACATACATAACTTTACTTACATGTGTAGTCCCACTGAAATCAATGGGTAAAGTATCTAAGTGTTCATAGATTTGAAGCCTTCATTTGGAAACACCACTAGAAATACATTTAGTTTTCAAAGTTCTTTGTGGCCTTGGTCCACCTTACCACTGGCCTATTAGCCACCTGCTCCCACCTCCCATTTTGATCTATCTTGGCCTCATGGCTGTTCCCTTCTTACCATTCTCTGCTGGGGAAATCACTCTCTTATTTATGCTGACTCCACCATATAGAATTCTACAGTCCATTCTCTGTGTCACTTCCACTTTTTAAAATTCATCTTAAAACCTTCCATTTTTCTCCAGCTTACTACTGGTTCCCTCTGTACTGTGTGTGTTTATTAAGGGTGCTGCGTAATAGTAGTCAAATGTGTTGTACTATATATCTGTTGGAGCTTATTTTTGAGAGGTATAGCTTATGTGTTAACTTCTGTTGCATGCCCTATAACAAACTATTCATTATTTCATTATATTATTATTAAGAATTCAGCACATGTACTAAAATTCCTCAAACATAATTTTGGGCCATAAACAATTTTCTTCTAGACTAACAAGAGCCCAGGCATTTTAGCCATTTATAGCACATAAAATGATCATGTATGGTGTCTGAGATGTTTTCTTCATGCTTGGATTCTATTTTATTTAGAATTTAAAACATGAACAATTTATTTACTTTTGCTATTTCTCTCCCTTCAGAAAAGCTGGTAACCAGAAGAGAAGATACAAAAGTTAAGATCACTATGTGGCACTGTGAAGCTTTCAATAGTACCAAGAACAGCGAGAACCAGCATCTCTGCCATGACTTCCATCTGGTTCTTTTCATCTTTTCCCTACTCTACCTCATCATCTGTTTTCCAGTTGGCTTTTGTTACAATGCCCTGCTGGTCCTAGTTAATCTCTGTAACAAAGCAACTATGACAATGCCGGATGTTTACTTTGTCAATATTGCAATTGCTGGCCTCATCATCAGTGCGATGGCACCAATGTACCTTCTAGGACCTGCCAATACAAAATGGGCCATCTGGAATATTAACAATGAAGTTTATATTACATTACTCATTTTATTCAATGTTTCATCTTTAGTTATCATGTACTCTACTACATTGCTCAGCCTGGACTACTACATTGAACGTGCTTTACCAAGAACTTATATGTCAAGCGTGTACAACACAAAACACGTCTGTGGGTTCATCTGGGGAGGAGCTATGCTTACAAGTTTTTCATCTCTCTTATTCTACGTCTGCAATCATGTCTCCACTAAAATAATTGAATGTTCCAAGATGCAAAACAAAGAAGCAGCAGATGCCATTATGGTTTTTATTGGGTATGTCGTACCAGCTCTTGCTGTACTGTATGCATTTGTGTTAATTTTGCGAATACGTCATGAAGCTACACCACTGGACCAAGACACTGGAAGATTAGATCCTTCAATGCACAGGCTTTTGATTGCTACAGTCTGTACACAGTTTACATTATGGACACCCTACTATGTAACTCTTTTGGTAAACACATTTATTAATGTGCAAGGAAAACTTACAGATGAGAATTACATTCGAATATTACGTTTTATGAAGGGTTTATCAAAATTGTTGGCTTTCTCAAGTAGTTTTGTAATGCCTCTACTCTACCGATATATTAACAAAAACTTTCCCCACAAATTACGACGGCTGCTTAAAAGAATACACTGTGGAAATCAAGGATGTTCTCATGAACGCACAGTAGTTCAGCAAGTTATGACGTAGATGTGAAAGAATCTCATGGTCCTCAATTACTGCAGTACTTTGTATACTGTACCCAGTATGTGACAATGTTTTGTTGATTCTTAAAGATCGTTTATTTGGGAGCACCTAGCAAGGAGGCTTGAAAAGAGCTTCCACAGTTTAAACCTACAGATAGTAAAAATGGTTGCAAAAAATCTCTTAAGCGTCTATCTACATGTTATAATACCTGTGTTTTCCAGTATTTTCAATGCACTGAGTCAGTTAAAAAGCATAAGCTTTGTCTTCACAGTTCTAATAATCCTGTCTGAAGAAATCACTAAGGGGTTAAATGAAGCCTTGATTGAATACACAGCACTTTGTTATCTTATACAGGAAAAAGAAGCATTTTACTCTCCATATAAAGGAACACAATTGTTTTAATTTTAAAAGTAGAGCTATTCTTGGTGGTGGTGAAGATCTCTGTTAAAGATCAGACTGTTCAACTATGTAAGTTTTAATAGTGAAGTGTTAATTATAATTTACTTTAGTATTTAATTAATTTGCTTCCTCTCCCTTCCCCAAAGAAGGGAAAAGGAACCTAAAATGCAATTCTAAGAAAGGATATTCTCATGCAGACTTAGCTACATTTTAATATCTTTGACAAATCAAATTTTCCTAGATGTAACAATTAACAAACATGCATTTAAGTCTTCATTGCTCTCTGTGTATCATAAAAACATTTCAATGATTCAGAAATATTTATTAACTATTTTAAGGGAATGAAGAGATATTTGCTCTGCATATTAAAACGAAGGATACAATGGTTCATGAAGTTAGAGTGAAAGTAAAATATACATGGTTGAAGAATGTTTGGCTAAGTGTTATGGTCCACAAAAGTTCATGTAAATAGAGTGAATTATTTTAAACAAATAAATATGTTTCTAATGAACATTTTGCATTTTTAAGGGATATGCTTGTGACAGTAATAAATTGAAGTCTCTTTAATCATGGGACATTGTTAAACTTTGGGGGGAGGGGGAAAGCTTTCGATGTAGGTATTGTTTTAAAATGGGCGAGGACCTGGAGCCCTTTGTAAGTCTCATAAGTTACTAGGAAGAACAATATGTTGCTTCCTTTAAAATGTGTCAGGCTATGAGCAGTCTTTCTTAAGATAGGCTTAGTTATCACTATCTTACTTTTTAAGTACCAAAATTCAAGCACTTGAAGTGACAGGAAATGTAAAATGATGCAGAATGAAAAGAAAAATTCTATAGTTTCTAGTATTATTAAACATACATTTTTAGCTTCTAAATTTAACCAGTTGAAATTGCTTTGTTTACATAAGCAAGAATAATTTGTATTTTATTTAATATAGAATAAGCCAAGTTATACATAAAAGAAATAAGGAAAATAATCCATAACAGGAGTAATATTTAAAATAGATATTTATTCATTCAAACCAGCACTAGTTATTTGCTAAATATTTCGTGGAACTCCTTGCAGCCTGACTCCAGAATGCACTGTATCAATTGAATTTTTTAAATTCACAATAGTGATGAAGAAATTCAGTGCAGATTGCCAAATTTTACAGTTGAGAGAGTATTTGAAAAACAGAGATTCTGCAAACACAAACAGTGGAACCTCATTGACCTACACGAACAGGGGAATGCAAATTAGAGAGGTTTTGGGGCTAGGAAACGTTCAGGGAGAGCATCTGATCCAATGGTTAACTGTAAGTGCCCTCCCTTTGGGCAGACAGCAGAGAAGCCAGAAGATGAGCTGGTACTCTTCTATTGGCTTGTGGGGAACATGACATCATCTACACTGGCCCTGTCTCAACACAGTGGCAGAATTCCATTGGTTTAGAAGTTAAATTGCAAAACTAAAATTTCACATTAGTGCGTATTTACAGTTTACCAAAGTGTAAGTTAGCAAGATTCTGCTGCAGAAGAAATAAGGAGAAAAAATAACTTTAAAGCCCTTTTAGTTATTAATAGTACCATTTCACCATACACTCGGTCTCAGGTTTTTTGTCTGTTTCTGTATAGATTACAAACTATATGAACCAGGAAGAGTGAGCTCACAATCTATTTATCACTTCTTTTCCCTCCTCCCCTTCAGTACTATTCCATTCAATTCTCCACACACCTGTCTCTGCTTCTCCTCTCTGGATAGTAATTTATTCAGCTCTCCCATGAACATGTTGATTATCCTCTACTGTTCTTTTTGGTATCTTGTTCTATATTTTTAATAATTACTTATTTTAATTAAGACTTTGCTCAAAATAATTTTACTCTTAATTCCCTGTATATTAAACCACTTGAAGGACTATTCAACTCAATCATATTGATCCTTTTCATAGGTTCAGTGTGTTGATTAGCTCACAAATCTCCCTCATACCAGCTGATGGGAATGAACCTGACCTTTCCCTGTTACTGTGTCTGATTTACATTTCACCTAATTTTGAGCCAATACACCCCTTTCAGCCACATGATCATTCATGCTCTTCATATATCATGTGCCTTGAATCTCACTAAATATAATCTACTGTAATAAATAGAATACTGTAACAGTCATCTCTCAAATCTCTTTTCTGACCAGCATATCAGACAGCCGTTAAATTTTGCACACGTTCAGTATCTGCCTTTATGTTTTCCAGTACTATGGAGCCTCTCAGTGCCATAGTATCAAAAATCTTGCCTTTATTTTAAATGTAAAAATGAAAAGGTAGAGAGATTTAAAAGTGAGCTCTTCACTACCTCATTAGCAGCTTCTTTATAGGATGGAAAGCGCCAATGAACAAGCATGAATCTCCTCCTCTAAATAATTTTTGCTATGTTGCCAAGTCTCTTCATGCTCTACTATCTCATCTTCTTGAAACTTATTTTTGAAGTGGAACTCGCTCAAATAATTTCTCTGAAAACACAGGCATAGGGACACAAATGCATCTTCCTTTTTGCCATAGCAACTGCATCCTCTCGCAGCTCCAGCTTAATTCAATACGAGATCCTCTTTCCCAAGAGCTTGCTGGCTCTGTTCAATCAAGTGCTACTTGTCCTAAAGAGCTCAGGACTAGTTGCTTGAAAAACTGCTTCTAACTTTCTTTGCAGCATTTCTAAAGTCATTAAACTTTATTCCATTCATTTGCTGTAGAACTCTTTTAAACAACGGCACAATGTTATGGGCACAGAAAAAGATGGAGGCAATGTGGGGAACAAGGTGTGCCAGGACACAAGACTCTTGGTGGCTCTACCCTTGCGGTCCCATCCCTGGTTGGAGTAGTTGTGGCAGGGGAGCCTCCCTTGCTGCCCAGAGACAGGAGAGGCAACAGACATGCACACACACCCTCTCAAAAGTAGCAAGGCTGGCAGCAGATGTTCCCTCTTTTTTTTTTTTTTGTAACAGTGGGGACTAGTATTTAACCTAGCATCTGAGATGTATCAGCTTGGATGGGTAGGTGGATGTGTACACCAGGTCCACTGCACTTTCTGCTTCTGGTGGTGGGGCTTCCCAGAACAATAGGTTTTGGAGTTAACATCGCATTGAAATGAACAGAGCACCTCGTACCTCTCAGAGCTGTTGTTTCAGGTGGTCTGCAGACTAAGGGATACTTCCTGGCACCAGCTGCACTCAGTTTGCGAGGGCCTATTGTGCCTGTGCTTTAACCTGGCTCTGTATGGGCATTTTTAGAAATCATCTGTTTCCTTGTCTACTTGAGTACTTGTAACAATTGCAGGAGAGCCTTCTTTAATTCCCACCCACAAGTGAACAGATAATAAAACTTCTCTTATACCCATCTAGCAGAATAAACTCTCCTCTTCTTCTTACCAAAAGGAAATCCATTTCCTGAAGGGCAACATTAAACCCAGCATTTCTGTCCTGTAAAAGTTGTTACTGAAGTGCAGTCCAGCATCCAAGGAAACAATTTCTAGAAGGAAGGAAACTGGCTTTACCTGGTGTGACTATAGAGTCATGCCAGACTGATTGCCTCTTTAAAACACACCTCCAGAATGTTATGCCTGGCTTAGAGATTTAGCTGCATTGTCAATTTTAACTCTCACTATTTGCTTTCCTTGCTCACTTCTAATTTTATGTCCCCACATAATTAGGGTGACCTGATGTCCCATTTTTTTTAGGGACAATCCCGTTTTTTGGGACTTTTTCTAATATAGGCGCCTATTACCCCCCCCTACCCCCACCACCTGTCCAGTTTTTTCCACAGTTGCTATCGGGTCACCCTACACATAATCTTATCCCTAATTTTCACAAACATGCAGCCTCTCCATTTGCAAAGTATAAAATGCCACATTAATTTCTGTCCTTTTCCACTTACATGAAATTCCCTGCTTCACACTATTGATCTTTAATAACCTCTTCAGATTATCATTTCTTGTCACTTTTAATGTACTATAAAATTTGATTTTCATGTTTCATTTTGCTCTTCTACTCTTTCACGTGGGGCCTCACACTTTATCCGTGGTACCATTCACTGTGTTTTAGCTTCACTAGCTTCTGTTCCGTTGTCTTTTTATGACATTTCAGTTTTATTGGAATGATTTGACATTGTAATTCAATGCTGTCCAATACAATGGAAGATGCTGTTTTTATGAGGGGAAAAAAAAGAAAAAGTTCTAATCAGTTTTCTTCAACATACTCTACAAATCTGAAGACTGTTTTAAAGTCCTAGTTTGTGTATGTGTGTGTGCCTGAAGTTAAATATTTTTGCACAGATCCTAAGAAATATTTTAAATATGAGGATATCATCAATTGATTCCCCACCCCCTCATTTTTGTTTCTGGATTAGACTGGGTTGTTATTTTCAATAGTGAACCTAATCTTTTGGCTGCTCCATAGACACTATGACATGCAACTGCCCTACTACTTTTCTCGGGAAATGCTAACAAGGCTTACTGTATTCGCATGCACTCTCCTTGAATATTAGATCAGTAATGATTTAAAAAAAAATAAACATTGAAGTAAACATCCAAATGGGCAACAACTTTGTAGTGGTTATACAAATATAAAAATATATGAGCACATACATTAGAAACTGTCCTTGGGGGAAAATTAAATATGGGATAGTGAAAATATAAGGAGTTTTATGAACGAATCCTTGATATGACAAGTTCTCAAAACATAGCAAACACCAGTAAATCAAAAGTGGGGCCTTTCCATTTCAATGCCTGAAGGTTTCTGATTGCTTTGTAAATATGAGCCAATCTGTTTTGCATTTGAATTAATATTGGTAAAGTACTGTATATATGCAGATAAAAGTAGCCTACTGATGTAAAAAAATTTGCAAAGAATTTATTAAATTATTTCAAAAAAATGATACTTCTATCACCATTTAAATGTAAACCTCTTTCAATGATTAAAGTGTACTGTATAAATTTCTATTTGCATATGCTATACATTAGAAAGTCAGCACAAGAAAAGTGCCATTATTAACAGTATTATTTTCTCACAGAGTTTAGTATTTTTGAGTTGATTTATGGTTTGTAGCCTCTCTGCTTTCAGAAGAGCCAATTATGTCAAATCAATAAACTAACAAAACTGTTCACCTCTGCATCTGCTTATGTTATCGCTACCGCTGGTTTTCAGACTGATTTGTGTTGGCTAATTGATAAAATCACTAGCTTCCATACTTTCCATTTGAGAACCAAACTCATTTTTACCATATAATTATAAAATAAATTGACTGGAATATAAATATTGTACTTACATTTCAGTATATAATATATAGAGAAGTATAAACAAGTAATTGTATGAAATTTTAGTTTGTACTGACTTCGTTAGTGCTTTTTATGTAGCTGGTTGTAAAATTAGGCAAATATGTAGGTGAGTTGGTGTACTCCCTGGAAGACCTCCGCATACCCCCAGGCAGGGCCGGCTCTGGCTTTTTGGCTGCCCCAAGCAAAAACAAAAAACAAACAAAAAAACGCGGGGCGGCCAGAGCCAGGGTGCAGGGGGAGGGAGAGAGAGAGAAGGAGGGCAGCCAGTGGCCCTTCCCGCCCCGTCGCCTGCTGGGAGGGCTCTGCGCCGCTTCGGTCGGCTGGGAGGGAAGGACGCGGGCTGCCCTGCCGGGCTTACTGCAGGGCGCTCCCGTCCTCTGCGCCACCGCCCCCTACAGGGCGGCCAGAGCGTAACAACACACACACACTCAAAAAAGTGGCCATGCTGCTCTAGGATTGGGCGGAATGCCGCCTCATTCAATCTGCCGCCCCAAGCACCAGCTTGCTTGGCTGGTGCCTGGAGCTGGCCCTGCCCCCAGGGATACGTGTACCCCTGGTTGAGAACCACTACTCTACTAGTCTAAATAAGAGAGCCAGCACTCAATGAACAAATTCATTGAGCAATATATTAAAGGCTGTTTCAGATGATCCATCCTGTGTTCATCTGTTGAACTTTCCATTTCCATGGTACACAACAAAAAGACAATCCGTGTTCATCATCTTGCTTTATACACTACAATCCCATTTGTTCAAAAGGTTTCATATTAATGAAGATAAACTAGTTTATAAACAACAGGCTAACTGGCCACGAATTTTGTAGAGGCTGAACTCTGGACCTGATCTCATTTACATTAGTGTAAATCAGTAGTGAGTCCACTGAAGTCTTCTGAATTACGTTGGTATAAAACTGGTTTACGAGAGTTCCGAATTAGCCCTTTGGGGTGCACAGTTCCAAGATCCTATTGCTTGCTGGATGTTAACTCTCATTCACTTCAGGTGAGAGTTACTAATATTCTGAGGTGGGAGGACAGAATCATGGGAGTTGTTTGTGCCAGAGTGCAGTGAAAATATGCCAGGTGACTATATATGAAAATCCTGGGGGAAATAATTGAGCTTTTTAAAAAAAACAAGACTCAGTTAAATGGGGTTGTATTATGTATGTTTACTAAGAAAGAGTGACAATAGTACAGTGGTTGGGTTTGGAGCCAAATTCTGCTCTCATACTAGTAGAAATTCTGAGTGATGCCACTGACTTTATTGGAATTAAATAATATTGACAACAGTGAAAGGGAGAGCAGAGTTCTGTAATTAATTCCTGAGAAGCCAAGTAATCATTTTTGCCTCCATATATGCAGCTGAAAAGTGAGTAAAACACTTACATGCCGCAAATATGTGCTGGAAAGTTTAATTTTTGCAAAGCTTTTAATAAGTGCAAGTTATTGCTACTTTTACTAAATAATGCCAGGTTCATCTATGAATAAAAGCAATCAAATTTATGTCAAACAACTGCAACATTAGATTGCCATGTAGCAAATGAATTTAAGTGTGAAGTGTCTCACGTATTATACTTATTACTTTTAATTTTTCCCTTGTCCACCAATCAAAGCATTTCAACATATTCCAAATGTTATTTTTCCATATATAGAAAAATGAGCCAAAAGAGGCATTTTCCCTTTTTTATTTTTAAACGTTTCATTATTTGTAATACCCTCATAAAAGTTGGAAATAGAACCACTTTTCTTGTCTATTTTGTTCATTTAAATATTTCGTATATCAGAAGCAATAATACTTCCCATATACTTTTCTCTGGGTTTGAGTACCAACATCTTTAATTATATCAACAAGAATGCTCAAAATTTTGGAGATAATATTTATTAACAACTTTAACTCTAGCAGGTGCAGCTCCCACATTATTGCATGTCACACCCAGAGACTGATTTTGAATTTACTAGTTTCTCATAAGAAGATTTGTAGTTTTAAAAAACAAAATGGTACAAATGATTTTAAGTATATTTAAAGAGTTCTTTGAAACTGCAACCAAACACTGACAAGAGTAAAGTGAATCAGTTCAACCTGGATTTTAAAGCATTTGAGGGCTTATTACACAGGAGATTAAAAAACAGCAGTGGGGGCGGGGGGGGAAATCAGTGCCAACCTGGAGTCCTGGTGGGAGAAAAGAGTAGGGAGGTATACAGGGAGCAAAGTACAAAGTTGAAACCTGCAAGGTTCAATACTGGAACAACTTTGTTTAACATATGGCTAAAATGTTCAAATCTGGAGGGCTAAAATCAGGCTTCCAAATACATATTAACCTCCCAAATAGAAGTGGCCTCATTTTCAGAGGTGCCGAATACCCACAAATCCCAATGAAGTCAAGAGGAGGCACTGGGGCTCCTCACCTCGGAAAACCAGGCCCATTTTATTTAGCTATTTAAACACGAATTTAGAAGTCTTATTTTAGGCATCCAGGTTTGACAGTTTTACCCTGTTTAAACTGATCTTGAAGCTGGTACAATCTGTTGCATTTTAAAATTAACTGGTGAGAGTTACAGAGAACGAGTCCCCCTTTTTTTTTTTAAACACAAGTTTTGTTTCAGCATTAATATGAAATGTTTTTTAAACAATATTCAAATTAATTCTAGAATTAGAGCTAAAGAAATATCAAGGCCCTGATTGTAAACTCTTTAGAAACTCCACCTTGTGGTCACCTGCTGAATATTTTTACAGTTCACTATAGCAGTTAGTTTACTTTAATAAAATATAATTTAAAAATAAAAGTGTTAAAATAGTCTACACTAAATTCCCACTAAATCTAGATTAGACATATAAATGGTTCTGCACACTAGAATAGGGTTGCCAATCTTGGTTGGACGTATTCCTGGAGGTTTCATCATATGACAATCTTTAATTAAAGATTAATCTTGAATTTCTGGAGACTTCAGGACAATCCTAGAGGGTTGACAACCTACAGTAGAGGCTCATTTGTAACAAGGGAATCAAGGAAATCAGCTATTGGAAACCATGGTTGTCCAAAAACTGCGCTACAGCCTTGGACAAAGCCAGACTGTTGAAATAAAGTTAGGTCTCAACTACAAGATCACATAGCATTTAATTACGTTGGGGAACAACTCTGCTGTAACCACTTCCTTCAACATGATTGTTGTAGCAAATCCAAGCCTTGAAAGACCTCTCCTAAACAGGTCACATGGGCATTTGGAAATAACCAGATACATAACTATAGCAGCATGAATAAAATGTTCTGCAGGTCAAAACAGAAAGAGAGGAATTACTACTACTATGTTTCTAAAGTAAATCCTCCATTTCCCACCCCCTGTGGGAAATTAAGGTCCTATGTGATATATTAAAATAATAAAATGCACTATTAGTTAAAGTCTTTAAGCAAAGAAAGGGCATCTGCAACAGAAGATAAATGTGCTAAATGAGGCTGAGAGAGGAAGGTAATAAATACAAGGTCACCAGCAATCATGTTAAAACGCACCATTGGAAAAAAAGATTTAAGGGTTTTTTTTAAAAGAAGAAGGAGACAGATAGATTGATATTCTATGAGAGTGAATTCCATACATTAAGGCCCATCACAGTCAAAGAATAATTGCTGATTAAAATACTACAGTACTAATGGATCTCGAAAAGACAGGTGATGTGTGAGCATAGAAACCAGTCAGAAAGAAACATAGGAAGAGGCCTCGCATACAGCCAGGGCCCACATCACTGTGGGCTTTAAAAACCCAGTCAATGTAAAATATACAGAGCAGGCATCATTTGATCATAGTTGCTCAAAACCATGCGAGCCAACATGCTGCTCCTTTCTGCACACAAGAAGGAGCACTGCTATAAGCTCTCGTGGGAGAGAATGAAAATCAAGTATTTTAGGCATGAGGGCGCACACATTGCTGTTGCAAGGCTGAGATGAATAAGGGTGAACCCTCCTGTAAAAAAAACAAACCTGAAACACAGATGGATTTCATGGAAAGAACTTGAATGTAACAGCAAACTATTTAACCTGACTTACTATTCAGAGGGAGATATAAATTAAAAAAACAGTAATCCAAAAAAAATTCAGGGGTTTCTTGCACCTTCCTCTGAAGCATCTGGTGCTGGGCACTGCTGGTGACAGAATGCTTGACTAGATCAACCCTGAGGTTTCTGATCCAGAATAACAATTCCTATGTGTGCACCGATATAGTTAAATCAGTGAAACCTCCCTTGCATAGAAACTCTTAAATCTGTTTAAGATCGTCAAAAATCAATTTAGCTTAAATAATATTTTTACAGATTTACCTTAAATGTATTAGGGCACTCAATCCAAAATAATATCCGCACATGGGGTCTGCATGGATTTAAGTAGACCAATTTATAAAACAATGTAGTTAAACCAGTGCACAAACGATGCGTACCGCAGCCCTAGGTGTAGTAATATGTTCTTTAATACCTGAAGGTGTTGGATAGCAAACACTTTGCTGAGACAGGATTGCCTAAACATGGTCAGTGAATGATTCCTCTGAACAACACTAGTCAATCAGATAAAGCTGTCAATAGAAAGCACAAGCATGGCAATCTCTTGGCACATAGTCAACGTATACATATTAACCCCCTCTTAATCTACTACTGTAGTAGTTTTATCTTTCTTCCTCTCTCTGATTAAACAGCAGCCTGAGAAGCAAAAAATAAATAAGTAATTGAAAAGCAAAACACATCCTCAATCACCTATTAAAAACAAGTTCGTCAAATATCTCCAGTCTTCTCTTCAGCCAAGAACAGAGCACTTGTTCCTGTCCCGACCACAGGATATTATTAAATGTATAGCA